GCGTTCCATCTAAAATTAACCATTACTCACATCTGCGGTGTATTAACTTGGAATGAAAATATTATCAGAGGTAATCAAAGATGTAGTGAAGCGCTCATTATTAGTTTCGAATGCTTTAATAAGGTATAGAAAAATTCAAGAGAAGACCTAGTGAATTGTTCTGTACTGGCATTGCAATAACATTTCGAAGGATTTGTAGAATATTAGTAGAATACTAGTACTATTATGAAAATAAAAGTGTAATATATACACCAAATCTATGCATCACCCATTTTGAAAATAAAACGAGAAGTCTTTTTTTTTCGAATTGAAGTTGTTTTTAATTTTGGTTTCGTTGAAATAATGACGACGAAAGGTAATTAGTTTGGTCTTATAACGAAGAGCTTTTTTTCAAATTTACAGACTTCCCCATTCAGATTTTAATTTTTCCTCCGATCAGTTTTGATATTCATCAATCGACTCCTAGGTTTCAAATCAGGGTCCATATTGTCACTGGCAAATCCTGGAAGACTGTACAAAACATACAGGTGAATCACACCTTTTCATACGAGTACTTTTCACTAGACCCTGGGTCAATATAATGATTTTCATGCACCCGAGAATTTTAAAGAACTTCAAGTACGTGACTGTGCCACTATGAAATAAACGTGGCATTCAGATTAAGGCAAAATGCGTCGATGAACACATAAAACAAATCCAGAAAAGAAGCGTCAAAAGACATTTCTTGAATTTCCAAATAAAAGTAAATCTGAATTACAAGTTACTTGTTAATCTAAGATGGCCAAGTTTCCACCAAGCTGTATGATAAACGTGATGATTTCAACTTCCCGATTGTGAATTTGTCATTTTTGGATAGCAACACTCCTGCATCGCAAACATATGGTAATAACATGTCTCAGTTCATTCAATATTAAAGGGCTTAGGTGCTCGTTAATTTTTCTTGTTGGTTCAGTTGTTGTTTTCCGTGTTGTCATTTGAAAACGTAACATTACCTACGTTGATTGGCCAATGTTTACATGGCGGGTGTCGTCAATGGAGCAGAAGACGCTTACTCTGCTGGAACACCTGGTTTTATTTTCCTTGTACTTTTTCGAGACTCTCCATGTAAATCTTTTTCTTCATATTTTGTCCTAGTTTTATCGAATTTTTACTTTGGATTATGATTATGGAGAAATATTGCTATTTCCTTGTTTTTCAATCTCATAATCAACCTGTAGTTGTACGTTATCCGGGCTGACCGGAAAATACAATGGCCGATATATGGCCATCTTGATTTTCGACAGTTAGTTTTGTTATTGCTCTTTAAGGAAATGTTTGGCTGGTTCATTCCCAACAGACATATAGTTCCCCTTCTCTGCTTTAGTTGCACAAAGTCCATTTAAGGACTGACCGACGGTCAGATAGAGGGTCACCTTGGATTCTGACATTCATAGTTTTCTGTAAATCACAACGACCTTTATGTGGGAAGTTTATAAGTGATTTGGTTTATGTAAGGATAAGGTATGATAAACTTTCTTTTTATGTACAAAATGGTGTGTAATAACACATCGGTCGTGTCCGTCTACTTACCAACTGGGCTCCAGCATATCAGGTACGCGCCAACAATGATAAACACCATTTTCGCAGTTTTCCAAGTATGCGAAGAGGATGGTACATCTTTAGAATGACATTCCATCGACTGAATAGCTTTCAAATGTACAAAAGATGTTTTCGCAATTGGTATGTATGCACAAATCATGACCACAAAAGGCAGTGCAAACAAAACCATGACAAGGACAATGAAGTTTGTTTCCATGGTGCCAAAAAAGTTGCAAATTTGCCAAATGTCTTCAGTATTCCAGCCAAAAAAGGGACACATTCCAATTCCAAAGGCAAGTATCCATTGTACCACAAGGCTTGTTCTTACTAACTTCTTTGAAAATTTTCTTATATATGTAAACGGGTGTTGTATCTTAATATAACGATCACACGTTAATAATGCTAGTGTCCAAACGGACGCTAGATTTACAGATATGAAGAGTCCCTCCCGAAGGATACATTCTACAAATATCTTAAATTGCAAGATATTATATAAAACATCATAACAAACAAATACTCCGACTAATAGATCGGCGATAGCTAGGCTCACGATGAATTGATTGATTTCCAAGATCCTTTTACGATGAATAAATAAGATCTGAAGAATCCAGGAATTCGTGACAATGATGGCGAGTCCAAAAAGAGACAATCCGGTATTGCTCAATATATCTTGTAAAGAAACACAATATCCACTTAATGTAGTAAGTAAGTCTGTTTCGTTTGAACACATTCTGTTCCACAAAAGAAAAACTCCAATTCTTTAGAAATGTCAACCATGCACAATAACACTATCAGGTAAGTATTTCAATGACATCGAAGTGAGATTTATCCTTTTTTTACATATGTTTTGAAAACACTGATGTATATTTTTAAACACACGACAAACTGCAGTGAAAATCCGCTGAAAAAGAAATCGTCTTTAAATCCCAACAACTTTATAAAAGTATTTCTTATCGAATGCAACAACATGCACAAGGTATGAAAACAAGGTTATATAACATTAAAATGAGAGGTTATACGATCCATATCAACCTAACGTGAGTTTAAATACCAGTCGCTTACTTATAGACTGCCTGTCATTAATTCTAGACAGAACCTGACAAATCGGTTAAGGACATGTTACACTATTTTGGTAGTGAAAAGTTTAACTGAAAGTGCATGGTAAAGACAAATGGGTAAGGTTTTGGGAATTTTAAATATTTGGTATGTTATAATTACGAGCAACTGATTCTATAGCAAGAACGTTATTCTAAAACAACAACATATTTTGGTTTCGCATAGGAGACATACACTGTAACATTATGTATTTATTTTTCATGTGCACTTAGCCATAATACTCACAAAATCAGCACTTAACACTAAAAACATATGTTGAATATAATGATTCACACGGATTACAAAGAAATAAAGTAAACCAGCATCAGACAGGTCCTGCTTTATATCGCACAAAGAAATAGAATGATTCCCAATGACATGTAAACACCATTGGTCGAGGATGAAGGAATGTTGACATCCAGAAATGGAAAATTCACAACAGGGGAATCGAAATCATCACGTTTATCATACAGCTTGGCAGAATGCTGTCCATGTTGTTTTCGTTGTAGGAAAACAAGCGGCCAATGTAAAGAGTATCTCGCGTGCTTGATTTCCATTTCTGGTGGATATATACGATGGACTTGGTCAATACATTTCATGCTATTTAAACACAAGACGTCACCAATATATCTGAAAATCAAATCAAACGACTTTGCAAGGTCTTTGTGACCTGCTGTCAATACCAGACTGTTGGATGATCTTACCAGTAAACACGCTGACGATTTTATCCACAAGAAATTCATGATTTCGTCATCCGTAAATTTATTTTTAAATTTGTGTATTTTTTTTTTACGAAACTTTAACCTTTTAAAGGCATCGTTGCGACACAGCATACTGACGTTAAATCTATCCCGTGATGATGCTGTAATGCTGGCTGTCAACATACTGAAAATAATCATTGTCACATGACGATCCTGGAGTTGTCTTTCTTTAATTATTGACGTTGCACAAACACCAACCGCTATGGCGAGGAGCTTTGGTAAACAAGTATCAAATATGACCTTGTTGATCATACTACGTTGTTTACTGTTTTTGTAGCGACAATAACTACACAACATATATTTACAACAGAGGTAACAAAGGCACTGTATCATGTTGTGATATGTTAATGTACATAAAGTTCAAGATAAGACACTTTCTTGATTTACTAGCCAAATCTCTGTCTCTGACTCTCTGTCTGTCTCTCTGTCTCTCTGTGTTTCTCTCTCACTCTTTCTCTTCTCTATCTCTGTCTCTCGCTGTCTCTCTCTGTCTGTCTTTCTGTGTCTCTATCTCTCTCACTGTCTTTCTTTGTCTCTGTCTCTCTGTCTAAAATAGACACAAATTTATAACGTATGAATGTTGTATTCCTATAATTTTTTTCTTCCAAATATATCAGATGTATGTACACTCAAGGCAGTTTTATAGATAGACAAAGTAATACATGGCTGTAATACAACTAAAAAAATTATCTTCACGTAGCAGGTGACATATGTAATCTGATGAAAATGAAATAATAATGGCTTCATCGAAATTATTTAATTGTCTTATTTTGTTTATATTATTGCGAAATTTCATGGTAGTACAGTTTAACATATCAACTTATCAAGTAGTATGTCATTAAGTAGAACATTGGAAACCATTTATAGAATGAATATTTATAAAATGGAAAATTTAATCACGAAGAAAATGACGCAAAAATGTCGTGGTGACCTTGATGATATATAACGAGTTTGACCGAATTAATAGTGCTGTTTATCTAAACCAGTCACATGCCATACTGATAGTTACACAAGTAAACACTGGAGGATCATTCATATAAAATGTATGTATACACAACAGCTCGCGCTAACCAGGCAGCCTCGCCACCTTATTGGCTGACAGATCAATACAGACCATCCCACCTATCGGATATGTTATGGGCGCCCCGTCTTTCTGCTAACATAAGTACAAGGGATTGGAATTTTCTAAATGAGGCCTTGCTAGGTAAAGATAGTAAACACATCCATACTGAGAATATAACATTCTCATCCCTTCTGTTTTTCTATAAGCGAGGTCTACTTTGTCTGTTTACTTGGCGTGCCTTCGCTGCACCAAGCGACAGTCTTCACAACAGGAAGTGGGTCGATTATGCGCACGTGGTTTTGTTTGACAACTCAAGGTCATGACGTCAGCAATCTAAATATGAATAGAAGTGCTACACCCAGTAAAACACGGCGAATTTCTGTATGAATCACCTAACAGATTCGCATTTTATTGGTGCATACCCTTTATAACACACTCCCTTTGAGTAAACAAATTTATATACATACAAGAAACCGCACAAAACCTGACTAAGAAACAATTCCCACATTCATTCGGAGCTCCTTTAGCTTCTTCTGTTGTAGATATGAAGCATTAACCTCATTGAATGAAAACTCGGAGTCAAGGTCGGCGGGTTGTATGGGGCGAGTGCACTTTGAGGTCTAAAAGGATATACTTTTCCGAGTGTCGATGGAGCGAGCAGAATACAGTCAGAGATTGACGGGGCCAGTCGTGTAGCGCCATTCAGGATATTATCACCGTTGTTTACATAAAAGGAAGTTTTATACAACCTGAACTAGAGGATATCTTAAATAGTGATATATTCAAGATATATTCACAAGGAAAATTTTATTTAACACTAGGTATGTATATATTATTTTTTCATTACATGCGATGGATGTTTATTTTGATGATGACATTGTAATGTTTATTTACATCAGTGACATTTACAGTCAATGTGAAATCAAATCCTGGTGTTTGTTTCACTATTTGATTTCAGTATTTTTTTCTGAAATTGTTTTTAACATGTCCTGTTCAAATTCTAAACATTGTTTGATAAAATTTGATTTGTTTTTTGTTCAGATATTTTATATGAATTTTGTATTGATATGTTTTAATCGAAATCTTCAAATGTTGTGATCAAAGTTAAATTAAGCCATGACATCATTGTCGTTAGTCAGATCAAACTTAATCATACCATGAAATCAATTTAATGATAATCAAAATTAGATATTTTTTGTACGGTACAGCTATACATTTATTGTACATGTGATAAGTGTTTGGTATGAAATAATGTATATAGATATACACATTTAGATATATAGATATACATATTTAGCCTCTAAGCACGTACTCCCACGAACTTCCGACATATTTCCTCTACAATATACAGGCAGTTTGAACCAATATAGTCATATCCGTATTTATGTAGTTAAATATTATATACAGATATAACCAACATATTTTTGTCATTGATCTCATTCAAGTCTTTTCTGTCCTAGATCTCATTCATCCACATATCACTAACTCAGACAAAGTGATATACATATATTCAAATATAAGTTTAAAAAGGCAATATGAAATATTAATATATAATTGTTAAACTTATTATTCATATACTGTTGCTTAATTGGTTTTTTTTATTCGGAGACAATAAGTACAGTGAACCTCTTTTCCCTGAGGTCGATATCTCTCCGAGGTGAAAGCCTCACATTGGCCCGCCATTAGCTAGAAGTACATCTGGAAATACACGTGCACTTTAAAGGGTTTTTGCTCTTGGTTGATTCCATCGAAAATGTTATATCGGCTATCGTGTCCAAGTTTATGAGTTAACATTTCATTTGTAATCCGACCCATGCGCTATATATACATACATATATATATGAAGGACTCGTATCGTGGCAAAAACTGGTTCAGTAGGTCAGTCCCATAGCACGCTTTATAAAACAGTTATGTACTTGTAGGTTTCTGTTCCCCTCTCAGCTAGGCAGATGGTGTATCATTACGCGGAGGTCAATACCTGTTTTTATCGTGCGCCTGTCGGATATTTTTAAACGTCCTTCTTCTTGTAATTTAGAAAGCCTTGACTCACCGATAAGGTTTTTTCTAGTTTGGTTTAAGTTACCTCACCCTTCCATTGTTAAATATAGAAGATTGTAACAAAGGCTTTTGATGGCCAGATGTGAAGGCAACAAAGTATTTAATAAACGGACCCCATGTCTTCATAATGAAAGTCACAGTTCGATGATATTTGAATCAATAATTACATCCAGTTTGCCTTAATTCAGCAAGAAATGAACTTATCGGTTCTTGTTTCTGTATTTTCTTTTTGGTCTTGGAAGGTGTCCTAGAAGAAAAACCAGAAACGTTTGATAATAAGATATAGCAATTTAGAATGGAAAGAGCAGCAAAAATTGAAACAAAATTTTAATTAGTTCACAACAGAGCAATTTACCATAGTTTTACAGACTGTTTAAGTGACAAAGCTTTCAACAAGAATTTTCAATCTTTTGATATTCGAGTATTTTGTAATGTATCCTTTTCTTGTTATTTCGTTTAGGGTCATGGACCTTGGACACGAGAAAGGGTCTGTCTGTACCTGTCATCCAGTGTCCTACAGTAGCAACACACTGGAGAGACTTCTTGTCCATGGACCGGAATCTTACAGTTCTTTCTACAACAATCACAGACAATCGCCAGCATATAACAAGACAAGCATGGACAACATACAGGGTTTAAGTCATGTTGGACAAAACAATAGACACAACACAACACTCCAAAGTGTTTTGTTGGGTCAGGTGCCTGCTGAATATTCTCATTTGGCTTCCACTCAAAATTCCATACGAGATGTGCTATCTCCAAATGTACCTCATCAAAGTCTCACCTCAAACAACATCTCAACTTTAAGGATTCCAAGTTTCCATGACAACGCATTGCCGTCAACTTCCCCACGTCATATTCCGTCTCCACATGTTCTGACGTCATCACCCCATTCGCCTTCACCACGTCACATCATGGCATCATCGCCTCATTGCAGACTCTCTCCTGCACATACGACGCCACCAAGGCACATGTCGTCACCATCTGAATACACTACGTCACCTCGACAGCATGTCCCATCACCCTTTTCAACCAATTCCGCCTGTTCACCATTCAACCCATCCGAATCTTGCCAACAAGAACCTATAGATCTGTCATGTAAAACCTCCAGTAATGAAGATAGTGACAGTGTTATGTCAGAATCTCCAAAATCGGATGCTGGTTCATCCCTGTTAAGGAACCTCCTTAGTATTGGCAAAAACTTGGAAATGGACGAACGTTGTCCCAATAGCAGTATGGAGTTCGATTCCTCTGCTACAACAGCCATCTCGAGCAACACACGTGTAACATTAGCCAAGAAAAACATGTTGCCGGTCAGTTCCCGTGTCTCAGACTGGTTAGTGAAAATTGTTCAGTTCTCTAAGTCCATTCCTGAATTTCAGAACTTGTCACACAATGATAAGGTTACACTGATTCTGAATTCCTGGACAAGGTTACTTTTGCTGTACATGTCGGAGAGCAACTTCCAGTTTGCAGTCACCCCAACACACAGTGGGCGAACTCCAGAAGAAGATTCACTATCCAGCACCCCGACCCCAGACACTCCTACAATGAAATCGGTGGAAAGTGTGCAAAACTTTGTTAAGAAATGTCAAAATATGAACCTAGATCAGAAAGAATATGCATTCCTACGAATGGCCGTCCTTTTCAATGCAGGTACGTTCCAATGTTATTTACAAATGTTTCAGATGCCCTCAATTTTGAGGTTTCTCCACCTTACTATCTGATTTTCAGCATGTATTTGGACCTGTTTTAATTATACATTTCCATCTTCTATGTTTAAAAATTTGAGCCATCAGTATCAGTGACTAGTCCAAGAAGGAAAATACAGCTGGATGATGCAATCCGAGTCTAACTTTTATTTTAAAATTGTATTTTAAAAGTGTTATTTTCTTGTGTGACTTTGTATAATTCGCACGCTCATATTAAAACATCAAAGCTATATTTGCTTGTAGTACACCCAACATTGATTTACAATATGGATATGCAATACTCGATGTCATACAATTGAATTAAACACAACAGCAAAGAACAGACTTAATGAAACATGATACATAATCAATATATGTAAATTGAAAGTAAACATCAAACTTATCTGAAATTACTGCGAAATTCATATTATCAGATTCACTACGTTCCTTTAATGATAGCTTGGGTATTTATTAAATATGATATAACATCAGAATGTAAACCAATACGACATCTGAATATGTGGAGAGACTTTAAATAAATGAAAATCTTGAGGAAATTATTTAACTCCAATATTTGTACCTTTTAAAGGAAATTGATACAAAAAACAATGGCCATAAAAAGCATATCAGAAATTTAAGATCAGTTGCACAACAATATCTAAAGTCAGAAAAAATGGAAATTTTAATATGATATTTGTTAAAAGGTTACAAAGAATTCAAATTAGAAACGGGCGGGCGTCCTTGAACAAACATGAATAAATCGAATTTTAAAAAAATAGACTTTAAAGGGACACTAAGGGCTACTGACTCTGGTCAAGGTTGACAGAGTGAAATTGTATTGATGGGACGCTTGAGTTCATACACGATACAGTGACCTGCCTTCCTTCTGAACAAAGAAAAAAAGCCCCACTGCTACCAAACAAAGGCAGCAGGACAGCTTTTCACGCTAGGGATTAACACACTGGGGCAGATGGTGAGGCGCAGGCTGTGTGTCATTCTAGGCCCCATCCAGGTCATCGCCCTAGTGTTCCTAGGAGTGACCTTCTGTGAAATTGACCCCTCATTAGCCTCCGTGTATCGGAACTATACACCGAGAAACACGGCTTAGGCGAGACTAAGGTCAGTTAACTTACAACGCGAAGGTGATGAAAGGCTAATATATATAGCTGTATTAATGAACGGGTTAAACCTTCATGAACTGGTTGAACGAATTTTGATATAAATTATGGATTAGATTTATACCTACAGGGTCATCAAAATATCAGACCATGATACTGTCCATTTCGAAAAACAAAAAGAAATTTTCTTGTGAAGAAATCATTAATTCGTTCATTATGTGTATCTCTACAACTTTAACCTGTTAACCTGATCAATAGGATATTGAATATATTTTTAAAAAGTGGATTGGTAAAAATTCCACACTACAGCTGTTTTCCTGTTTAGGTTCTCGGAATTTACTTAAATTTATCTGAAGCAAAAGTAAATCGGGCAGTAGTTCCTGGTATCAATTTCTCTTTATTCGTTCCCATCCTTAGTGTTTTTTTAGAGTCAGGGTCAATGATACTTGATCTTCTTTCAAGGTTCTAGTTAAATTATATGGGACGAAGCACAAGTACGTTTCTTGTGTGTTTCTATCTACCGTTTATAGGTAAAAACCAACACGAGAAGGTCACACTATCATTACTCTAGTGTTGTAGATCTATCGCATAAAAGTCGTCCTTCTATCAGGCAAAAATAATAGAACAGGCAAATAATGGTACTATTGAATATAAAGTTACAATGCATTGTAGGGTATGGAAAATACGCCCTTCGGGTTTGACGTATAAGGTCGGCTATGTCCTTGGAACGAAATTGGCATTCTGCATTCTTTACAACCGCGACCGAATACAAAGGTATTGGCTCATTGCCAATGAACTAGCGTCATTCCTCTTTGCCACCTTTTTCGCAGTAGGTGAACGAAGTAAATGGGAGTGTTCGACAGAAATTATTTAGGAATACTCTTTAAATTATTATTCTTACACCAAGTTCGTTTTTTTTAATAAATAATTTAAATTTAAAAAGGTAGCATCGGAACAGTTTTCTGCATTAGAGCTTTATCTACATCTATAAATAACTGTTGTTATCATAACAACCACATGTTTATAATGACTCGGCAAAAGTGCGTGTGTACTGGACTGTGGTCATTAGTAGTACTCGCTTGACCCGTGGCCATAGACAAAATTATGTCACTGGTCAGTGGCGAGCGTGACCGATGGTCAGTTGAACTATTTACCTCATGGCTAACAATTGTGACCTTGGTCAGTAAGGATACCGTCTATGAAATGATGAGTGTATACATTCTGTGTGCGTGTTCAGACACGGTTCTCATCTGTAAACCAAGCTCACGGTGTATAAATCCCCCAGTTCTAGCATCAGCTTTGACACGTAGTCACTTGTATATCAGAGATAGATAATATATACAAATTAGTCATGAATGGATCTAGCCCGAAGTATTCATTCATCGTACTTTAAAATACACAGTCTTTGTTTCCCGATATAAAGTTTAAACCTGGCTATCTTCCTGAGCTGATGCCAAACACACTTCAAGCCAGTTGCCTTATCACATAACGATCTTATGATTACTGTCTGATACAAGCTATTTAGCAACGCACATGCGAATTTTTTCAATGACCTTCTACCGAATTTAACACTTCCTACACTCCCTCAGTTGTTATGATAAATCTGTCTGCTCTCGAGCAGGATGTTCTATAAATAGTTAACATTCTTTGTTATATCTACGCTTAGTATAATAAACAAACTAATTAATTACATATTTAAGTAATTAGATAAAATAACGTTTGATTACAAACAGTGTTCTGGACATTGTACACACAAAATGGTTTCTAGTTAATGAGAAAATGATTTATAGTTTCATCTAATTGATCGATCTAAAGCTTTCGGGAAATTTACAATGACGTCATTGAATTGTTAAACATATTATGAGTAATCATCCATTCATATAAGAAACAAAACAATTAAACAAACAAACCAACAATCAAACAAAACAAAACAAAAGAAATATAAACATGACCAAGATTTTTTTATGAACTGTAACTGTAATGTTTGTTATGCTGTATATTACAGGTTACGTTGGACTGGACAGACCAAGTATGGTTGACCAACTGAACTCCCTGATACAGCAGCTTTTGCAAGAACACGTCCGATTGGTCCGACCCACTGACGTCATGCATTACTCTCGGTTATTGCTGCTACTCCCTGCCTTATATGGTATCAACTGTAAAATGATTGAAAACCTCTTCTGTGGACACATAAATGGAAATATGGATATGGAAGTGCTGCTTAAAGAAATGATACAAAATTTGTGATTGGATGGAAAGACAAAAACTCTGATTGGACAAACAGCCATGGTACAATATTCGTGATTGGAGGATAATCTGATAAAGACCTTTGTTTGTCTATCCATGGTTCTGAATATAGTATAGGACAAAGACGTTGTTTATGAACCATGAGAACACTTAAGAGCGAGCACAGCAGAAAAAAAACTGTGGGTGAAACGTCTCGTGAAGTTAAAGAAAGACTATCGCCATACGATACAAGTCGTCTGTAAAACGATGTATTTATCTCAGAAAGGAGGCCAAAACAAAGTTTCCATATTTACAACTTGTCCATGTTAAATAGCAAAATAGAACACCGATGACAATCCGTGCTCTTAATCCACAATGCTAAATTTATTTCATAAAATAATTCACTTTCATTTCCGTTAAATTTGTCAGGAAACCTAAAAGTCATTTTATTTATTTTATTTTATTTTGATCACGTGACTATATATATATATAAACAACCTAGTGCTGGCAACTAGCCTCATTGCCCAGTCATTCCAGTATGATATTTTCTTAAATTACCTCAGTGTGTTTTTGATTTAAATTATTACTATTTGTATTGTGCGATGTGACCATATCAAAAAACATAACAACATTCGGATCAATGTGTTTTTCAGCACCCATTCAATGCTTCATATCAAAAGTTTACAGGTGTTTTTATGCATTGTAGAATCTAAATTAAAGTTTACAAGATAAAACAAAATTTTGTTTCATAAGTTTGCGTTATAGCAATCATCCAATGCATTCAGAATCTTAACACCTAGACCACAGAAACAGTATATGTATCTTGCCATATCTGAACTTCAGTAAACATACACACAACAACATGTGTATGACAAACAACCGATAGCGAGAAAACCTAATAAGGTTAATATCGAAGTCCTCGACCTAATAAGGTAACAGCGGAAACTTTTGAATTAGTTAGGTAAAATCTAAACTCTTATATATTAGAATTAGTAGATTTGTATATTTGAATAGACTAAGTTATATTTTTCAACGTAGTTATTTATTGCTTTTATTTCGGGACTGTATTATTTTTGTTTTCTATTTTCTATCATTTTGTACATAATTTAACTCAGTGCTTGTCCAAGAAGGGTCAATATTTGTGTAAATTTGCCTAAAATTTTTTAAGAACTAAGATAACTACCAATAAAACCTATGTTTAATTATTATATATTAAAAACATTTGATAGATAATATTTTATTTATGAAAGAATTTCAAAAATGTTTGTTTTTAAACAATTCGACTTTCAATGAAATAAAAAGAAATCGATTGGTATTTCTAAGATTTTCTGCAATCCGAGATGTCCCCCTTTAGCGTGTCCAATTACTACAATCCACTATATTAGTGTGTATATGTATTGATGTACAGTCTGTCCAATATGTGGTTAATATCAAAACCACCTATACCGGTGATTTCATTTGTGACAAATATTATTATTTTGCTGTAAGTATGATCATGAACGAATGTGTCATTTAATGTATGGTTGATTGAACAAAGTATGTGGCGTCTGCGATTAACCTCCTAAAGCAATCTATCGTTTTAAATACTTAACTTTACACACACACACACAAAAAGCCAAAATATCAATAAATGAACATTAAGCTTCATCTTTCTAAGATATATTTTAAAAACCATTCACAATAACACTTTTTGAAGTAAAGCAGAAAAATAACAAATATATTAGCCATGTCTATTCATGTCTTTGAAGAAACAATTGCAAATCAATTTCTGTTGTAATATCAGGCATAATTTTTAGAGGCAAGACATCACATTCGCCAATCACTTTTATTTGGTACACTGGAAAACGAAAGGAAAGTAAGATTCGATGTCGTGCACAGTATGCTTATATATCATATTTGTAGAAATCGCATTCTATTTTATTTATTTTCATGTCAAAATAAAAGAAAGTACAGATTTATAAGATTGTCATTGTTATATTTATTTTTCTTTCAAATATTTATAGATTCATAAATATTGGGATGAGTTCAATGTATAGAGAACATTAATGACGTTGTTTAATTGATAATGTTTACAACAAGACGTTCCTAAAGATATGCGAGTACGGACTAACAACAATTGGCCTATTACTGAGTCAAATTCTTCAAAAGTAAATATGATTCTAGAAAAAAATGATCATGACAGTTTGGACTGTAAACATTAGAATCCACTACAGGAGAACAAGTCGAAACACTTCTCTGAACCTCCGATCAGAAACCAATTTTTAAACAACAAACATGGAAACGTTTGTATTTAAAGGTGTTATTCACTTGCGTGTCTTTTGTGCAACCTTTCATGAACTACATACCAGAAACCGTTTCTGCCAAAGGAGACTTGGGCATTTTTTCTGCACTACAAACCAGAAACTTTTTCTAGTGAAACAGACACCGAAATCCTTCTGAACAAGCAACCAGAAACAAGCTTTACCCGTTATCAATATCAGACCTATCTGAATTATTATGTAGATATGTCTGTGTAACATGATTACTGGTGTTATTCTGAATGACTTGTATTTGTAACATAAACAGCGGTGTGATTGTACCAAAGGCACACAAGTAAATATCATTTTTCAAAAAAATAAAATTATAAATTAGCCAGAGAAGAGCAAAATAATGAATGGAACTACACTAGCACAGCTGTTTCGTCCTTCTAGGACTCGTCAGTTATACAAAGGGCATGCAATCTGAAACCTAGCGGGCGAACGGTAACAAAATGTATATATATAAATAAAAAGGTCAGACGTATTTCTAATAGATTTCAATGGTGTTTTAGATCTACCCGATGTATTTTTTACAATGTTTGTTACCTTTATCATCATAAGCATCCGTCCCTTAACATGGAGTATTAATTAACTGTATATACGTAACATGGATCATTAATAAGAGTATTGCATAAGTTGTAATGACTGATGACGTCAACAGTTTATGCGTGGGTAGCATCGAGAATGTTACCTTGTGGACTGTGTATGTAAACACTAAGCAGACTTTGAACCTGGTGGACTGGCGTAGATATAAATATACACAGACTTATTGTAGGTATTAACCGACATACGTATGTTTGGCCCTGGAGATGACCTCTGGTCAATAATTGACCAGTACATGCCGCAGACGATACAAGTATAAACAGTTCATGTTTACAAAGCTAACTGGGTCAGCGTATTCACCTTGGAACTTTCGAGATTTATAGTACATATAATGTAGTGTACGTGAGACAACACTCATGCACATATTCTCCAACACTATGTCTTAAAAACGGGTCACATGTTATTCACTCCCGAAGGGTATACAGCAGTGTTTACCATGTACTGATAATCAGGTTAATTTATACAAAACAAAAACGTATATGAATTATTATAAACATAAACAAAAAACCAGACACTAATATTTAAAAAAGAAATCAGCATCATAACATGTTTATAACTGTAAGATATTTTGATTCAGATAACCAATTAAAAAGTAAACGCATAAAAAACTTAAGTAAATTGCAGTTTGTTAATTTTTTGCTTGTTTTTGTTTTGCTTGTTTGTTTCAAAAACATTCAGGGAGAGAAAACAGTAGTATGGTTTACTTAATGTCGTTTTCAAATTGACGACTTAGTATATGTTTTGCGTGAAGTTACTCTATGATTTCATCATCTATATATCGTGTTTATGTGCTGTAAATATACATCATCAGTATCAGGTGACCGTAGACTATATACCATACCACTAGATAGGAATCTACGTATAAACATTGTCTAAAACGTTTTGTTTTCCTAATAGGTGGAAGAACATTCTGTGTAAATTTAATCATTCCTCAGAGATTTTACACCGATGATAAATTATGACCAAAAGGAATAATACACTAAAACAACTGAAATAATAATAATAATAAATGAATATAGATTTACATTACTCAACATCCTATCAACAGCTATGGTCATTTAAGGACGGTTTCTGTTTTTTTGTTTTTGTTTTGAGAGGTTACAAAATGATAGTAAAAGCTCTCTTGCAATAGTATGGAAGTGGTTCATAATATACAACAATGAAGTATCCTACCAAAGCTCCCGACAGCACACTTTATATTGACAAAGGATGGACTTGTCTTTTATGTACCAAAATGCTGAACATAAAGCAAGGATACTTAACTACCAGTGTTAAAGATTCTGTGTGTTTGCCAGTGGATAAAACCCAAAGCTTTCTCAGATGGACAAACGATCAGATGAAGATCAAAAGTGATAAAGGGAGTGGAAGAAGACCAAAGAGCCTTAGAAACATTAATAGTATATATTCTCTGCGGGAATGAAATTGTCAATAAGTAATCGAAACGATTCTCGGGATTATGAATGTAAACACCACCATCATATAATTTCACAATACTAAAAAAATCTGTGTGAATGATGTCCATGAATAGTTTTAAAGATAATTTAGCTCAAGTTCTACAGCTAATATTTTTTGTTGTTTACTCATGTCAACATAGAAATATGCAAGGCATGGAGATAGCATGATTCTTGCTACAAACATCTTTGATGCACTTCAGCGCCCTTTTATACCAGTAATCATGACTCCGTTGTTTGACACAAGTAAGTATGTAACTTTAGCAATAGTATTTACTTATTGTAAATTTACTATATAAAATGTACCTATGTAATTTACTTTCTTTTTGAAACCATAATTTGCTTTGATTTCCTTCTCTATTTGTGTAACATTTTTTCCAAAGTTGCCTCTAAGTCATAATAATCCTAGAAGGACGAAACTGTCGTGTTATATGTTATTTATCGTTAACTGGCTTTATTGATCTAGCTTTAAGTTTGTATCAACAGGTTACTATATGTATATTTCCCCATTCACATAATTCGCGACGTCTCTCCATTAAACTTCCTATGTACTTATAGAATGATTCATATTTACGAATTAGATAAGGACGAATGCAGATAAATTCTGTTCTAAGATTGAAAAAAGAGATAATAAATATATCTATATGCATCTCCATGCAGTAGCGCTAGATGATAAATTAAAATGCATCCTGCAGATTTGTAGTTTAATAAAACATGTCTCATACGTTAATCGTGTACTTTAGTGCAAATCATGAATGCACAAAAAAAACTTTTCTGTTATGAAAAAATATCAATAAATCAATAAATCGATTAAACAACAGATGTTGCTTTCTATCGCTCAAATATTCCTAATATAGATTTAAAAGACAAGGCTGTACATGCCCGTACAGGTGAACAAAGCATTATACTGCGGCTCGAGTGAATTCCAAAGGACATGCGACCTTCGATATTAAGTGCGAATCTTGATTCCGTCATTACACCTGAAAAAGATCATACGACTGGTTGATTATGTACCTTGGGAAACCAGTTTATAATAAAGAGAATGACGTCAAAGGGACACGAAATGTACCGTGGGCGAAGGACACTTTACCTTAGCTGAAGGTTACGATGTGATTATTCTTTAAAAGGCCACATTTCATTCATTAAAATATTATACATAACGACTCTAATGTATTCTCAATCAACATATGCATTAACAAAGTATTTAAATATCTTTATATGCTTCAATAATAACCTAAACATTTTCAGTGTGTATTTCAGCATTTGTACATTGTATGTATCATAAAATATATAGATATATATATAGTTATATAAAAAAGAAGAAAATATATATCATTACATTTATCTAGATTTACTTACAGAATAAGAGTTATTTCAGAACCAGGAACTTGTTCTACTTCTTGGGTAACTAGTCTTACTATTTCATTTTTTAAGTGATACTTTAGTGTTAAATGATTACTGGGGAACACGTGGGTACACACCTATTTATTTCTGATGTTTTAACCTTTTTATTGTGGTTACCGGTGTACATACATATACCAAACGACCTCGGACACGTATTCACCTATCTTCCGGAAATTAAATATAAACAGCTTTCTCACGATCGACCTTCCTTATAACTTATGACGCAAACACAAAACCACCTTTAATGGGGGACGGATTGGCCAATGACCGACCCATTGCTGTACAATTAACTCGATCGCCCTCGGAAAAGTGAAAAAACACCAATAATTCAAATACTATACTGCTTCGATTTTTCTCCTTCACGTTTATATAAGAAAACTGCTTGAAAAAACAGAGGTCAAAGAATAAGAATTTAGTTAGATAACATAGTTTTATTTACAGATATGTATTGTCTTGTAAATGTCTTTGACGTAAATAAAAAACCAAACCTTCTTCACCCTCAAAGGATATTCCTGGTAAACATTAACAGATAAAACAAACCCCTAAATCATTCATGAAAGTTTTTTTCAGTGACGAAAGTAGTATGTTTATCCTTGAAAACGACAGTTATAAATACCAAATGACGTCTACTATAATGGTGTTTGTTACGGATTACGGACAAATATTGTACTGACGGATATGTTGACGCATTGATTGCAAAGTAAACAAATAATTCACTCTGTGCCACTCCGTTCTTTAAGGACCCACCCAAGCTACGTTCAATATCAGACTACGTGTACTAAACCCATGGCACAAAGAGATGAGAACACTGTACTTTAACCCATAATTTATCAAACCCGATACTAAGACTTTATGCATGTTTGCACGTATACATTCCCGGGGTTTTAAATATATATGAATATAGCATCAATGATGACGTAGTTCGCAAATCAATCTTGCATTAACCGGATGTGTTCAAGGTTAAGCCTCGATAGGGCACATAATAAATTCATAATTAATTCAAGCATAATGTTCCTTGGCTTAATTTAAAAATTAATTCTCGTGCAAAGTTCAATTACGAAATATTTCGTTCCTTTGTTAAAATACTAATAAACTTGTGAAATGAAATAAACATGTAAACACTTCTGTGTAGGATTGAAAATTCCTTAAAAAGGACATGTTGATACAGGACAGATATCAGTTCAGCCCTACCAATATGGTATGTTC